TGTGCAACCCTCGGACCCTAGTAATCAGTACTGGAAATAGGATTACTGCCTTGTAAAGTGTGACTGCGGTAGGAAAACTGCACTATAAGCAGTGCTAGGGTTAACCATAAAGTAGCAAGTGATGCTCCCAATGTTATGATAATCAGGTAATTTCTGATCTTCTGGAACATGTTTAAGTGAAACTTGAAAAATCAATAAAGAAGAAGGCCGTTCTTTATTGTATGGGGTGAGCAGGCCAAATCCTTTTCTCTTCTACGTAGGAAAGTTATAGTGAATGCGTGATTTTATAATACTCAACAGATTCAATTTACTGTATGGGTCATAAGTTACAAGTACATCATTTCCAATGACCCCTCTGCCATTCTGGTCTGCGGACTGTCCATCCAGGAGACATCCAGTATTCCTGAGTATAATGAAACATGTAGAACTCCTCTTGCCATTCCACAGTGCAGGGCTGGGTGCCTGGAGTGGCCGATTGTAAGTTTTGTTTCACAGTATTCAGAAATCAGTGCCAGATTTTCCCTTTTGCTCCCTGGTTCTGGGCTGTCAGCCTATGGCCTTTCACCAGGCTGCAGCCGATCTGCACTCCTCCTTCCCTATTTAACACTACCTTGTTGCTTAGCGTGCAAGCAACAAGTATTTTGCCTTGTTTCCTACCCCTTGTTTCTCTTGCAATCCCTGTGATCCTCTTTCCTTGCACTTTTGGCTTCCTTGTATCCAGCTGGTATCCCTGTTTGGAATTATCCCCTGCTTTGCTATTTTCTACTCCTACTTTACCCTATTCAAGTTTGTACCTGTGTATATTGCTGCAGACCTTTAATTGCTTTCACCAGTGTGCTGTGAGTCTCTCTATACTGCTTTAATTGCTTACCTACTTTAGTGTTTTCCCATTCCAGCCAATGTGTGTTACTGTCTTCTGAGTCCTGTGTTGTGCGTTTGCACCTTTACTTGTGTGTGAGTCACTTTCTCTCTCTTGCCCCTTCTGTGCCTCTGTTCCCATCTTCCTCCTCTTGGTTTCAAGTTTCTTCCCTACTTGTTCCTGTATCCAGTTCCCCTACTAGCTTTTACCAGCCCCTTAGTCTGCGTGGGTGCACTAGAGGGCCGCAACCTGGAAGGTGTCCAGTAGCCAATCTTCCTCACCATTAGAGGCTCTGTCGAAGACCTGGCCCTTCTTAGATTCTGCACTTCTAGTGCATCCCCAATAATGCACAGACTCTCTTAATTCCTAGTCCCCAATAACGCACAGACCATTTGTTTCTTGTCTCCCTGTGACCAACATCTCTGCTATCACTCCAGTCCGTGCCTTCAATCCACTCCATGGTCCTGAAGACTATCTCCCCTAGTACCCCAGTCCTCAGACAGTGACATTTTGAGTTTGGTGAACAAGTCAAAATCTGTATGGGAATCTTGGTGGGCCAGCGCTAAATTGAAGCACTAGTGGAGTGAGTGAAGGAAAAGTACATCTACCTCATACTACATGCAGTAATTTAAATCCATTTACTCAGTATGAGCAAAGTGTAATCATAAACATTACAATTCTGGTAGGACCGCAACCAGCTTCTGTTGCTCCAACAAGTCAAGGATGGACAGTTATCTATTTCCTTCTTGTGGAGATATTTGACCATGAAGAATGAACCTTGGCCAACCAACCTAAGGCTGGAAGTGATATAAATGGAACAGTGTATTTCCTTACATAGTGGAATTATGCACATGTAAAATGAAATGTGTATATCATATCAATCCACCACTGCCAAATTGATATAACCTTTTTATAATTTTTCCATAAATATTGTTTATAAGAGTGGAAATGAGAAAGTAATTGCCTTCATGATATTTTTGCATTTTGTCTATTGAGTTTTTGGCATTGGAATTTGACTCTGAAACATGAACCATCGTAATTTTTGGCTCTGAGTTTGAGAATTCATGGGATGTTTAGCAGTTAGTTGTCTTGTTTTGTGTCTGTGCTAGCAACTCTAATAGCTTGTTGTCTGGGACATATTTATGTAATCAAACACAATGTGACTCTGTGGTGAAAACACAAATGTGTATTTGCTTTCAATGAATTGCAATGCTTGCTTACATATAAATTATATGTAACGGGAAGACATGAGCACTATGGAGCTGCTTTGACGTGAACCTTTCTGAATGCTTGGCATATCTGTATTGAGTGGTATCATGCAGGGCCGGCCTTAGGCCTTTAGGCGCCCTGTGCGAGAAAGCTTTACAGCGCCCCTCAGTGACCACACCCCTCAGTGACCACACCCTTTAGTGGCCACACCCCCAGTAAATATCATGTAGTAGTTGGCTAAATGTCCTTGCTGAGATCTCCCACTTGGTGTCACTGCATGCTGTACCACCTCCCAGTCAGACTTCAGTCTTGGTTGGGCCCAGCTCCTTGAGGGCCAAACTCTAGCCACAATTGCATGTATGCCACACAAGTATATTATTGGGATAATTACAGTGCCTAAAGAATTTAGTATGTTGGGTCCATATTTATACCGCAGAGCGGTCTCCCTCCCACAGGTTTTAGTTATTTTTCAGCATACTGATCTGAAATTGTATATTTCCTCTTTTGGTAAAATAACCCTAACTTAATATGTCTGCTAAAGAACTGCGTATCCTAATCAACTGCCATTGCATTATGTTTTTTAAATGTATTTATTAACATTTTCATATTTTTTGAACATTTCTTTTTGCATCTCAGTGCTGCTCATCTCCACAACCTCTTACAGTCTGTATACACTAACTCCAGTGTTAGCTGCATGTCCTTGTCCTAAACCTGCTTCCTGATGGTGACAACACTGAACCATACCCATGCAATGTGTGTCAGCACAGCCACTTAATCAGAGTGGGTGTCACATTCTGACAATGAAGGAGGAGAGAGGAGTGGGAATCACACTTAAGTCTTTAGCCCTACCAAATACTGGTGTCATTCATGCGCAAAGCAAACTGTGCACCAAAAAACAAGGTACAGCTATTTATTACTTCCCTGCCTCCTCTTACACTCCCTATGTAAAAACACTAGTGCACAGTGCACTCTGTGAGTCCTTAGCTTTCCTAGGAGGCTGAGTGAGGTTGGCAGTGCCTATGTGAAAAGGCCAGGTAAGTATCCTTTTTTTCCCTTCTTGTAATGCTTTTTTCTCCTCTAGTGCTTTTACACTTTGGAAGGGGCTACTAATTGAGGAACCTTTTTTTGTGCCTGGTCCTCTGTCACCTAAAGCAGGGAAGATGGAGTATATCTTTCTGGTTTTTATTGTCAATGTCCATGCTGGGGAGATTTTCCCTTATGTCCTATATGATGATCAGACAGGAAGTGCAGGGAAACCTTCCAACATAAAACACTTGGGGGGGGAATTTATCAAAACTGGAGCAGAGAAAATCTGGAGCAGCTGTGCATGGCAACGAATCAGCTTCTCTCTCCAGTTTGTTCAGTTAAGATTTGAAAAAGAAAGATAGAAGCTGATTGGTTGCCATGCACAGCTGCTCCAGTTTTTGTCTGCTCCAGTGTTGATAAATTCCCTTCATTGTCCATGCTGTGGAGATTTTTCCTTACATCCTATATGATAATCAGACAGGAAGTGTGGGGAAACCTTCCAACATAAAACACAGCAATAAAACCGGACAAAGGTTTGGCCTGGAGTTACTTGTTAAATATATCAGGAATGTTAAACCAACAATATGCACCTTTTGACATTGAATGACTGACGCACTGTGTTCCTTTTATAGAGACGCCGCTGACCCTGGCCTCACAACTTGAGCTAACCGTAGATGTGATTAGGATGCTGTGCCTTGGAGGTGCCCACATTGACTTCCGAGCCCGGGATGGCACCACGGCTCTGCACAAAGCAGTCTGCTCCCGAAACTACAATGCCCTTATGGTATGATTCATTTCTGTTTTGATTTTCTTCCTGGTGGCTTTTTGGCAGGAAATAATTAAATACCGGCAGTAAACAGCATTTAACTTTTTAAGTGTATTTCAGAATTTTGGGCTTGTATTAAATTTTAGTTTATTGCTAAACTCCACACTTACAGCTAAATACAAAAATAAAATACATGATGATACATGGCAGGAAGCGCAGGCTGTAAGGGTCTGCCATCAATGGCCTCAATAGCCAATGGAGTGGTACAAGGTTGCGTGGGTATCCGACTCTAATGTCAGACCCTTATAGCCTGCACTTATCACCCTCGAGACCGCTCCACTTACCATGGCTGTAGGGGCTTTACATTATGAAACGATCCAGTTCCAGGCGATTTCCTCCCCGCACTTTCCGGTGGTTTTTGGATATCCGTGGCTCCAGGCCCATAACCCTAGGCTTGATTCGGGGAGGTCTAAGATTTTGCCCTGGTCTGATCAATGTTCTGCCAAATGTTTGTGAAGACCCATGAGACTCCTGTGTACTGCATCTGTCTCCGAACTGCCTGAAGAGTACAGGGAGTTCTTGGATCTGTTTGATAAGGTTCAGGCTGGTACTCTTCCTCCTCACAGACCGTACGACTGTGCCATTAATCTTATCCCTAGGGAAGCTTCCACTTGTTTTGTACAAGTGATTTTTAGTAAATCCAGCCCTGGGTGTATGCGCAGTAGAGATCATCGGCAGAGAGAACAGCAGAGACACAGTGGAGGTGATTGCATCCAGCCGTGACCATGCATGTTGGACAGACACCGTGGGACACGAGGAGTTTGCGCAGGATCAGAGAATTGCACTAGCGTTGGAGGGATTGCTGAATACAAGTGGAAGGAAGATGATGATCGGCTCAAGAGGCATCATTTAAGGTAAGCCCTTAAAGCAGCATTGGGGGGGAGGAAGTGTGGCTTTAATGTCACTTTAAAGTACTTGAATGCATTTTTAATGTTTAACTCATGAGTTTAGTATCACTTTAAGGGTCACCACTGCAAACATAGGAAGGTTATGAACCTAAGATTGAGAGAACATGGCGGAATTTAAAGCCCCTCTGCAGCATGCACAACTGTACAGAGGGAAGACAAATTAGTTCATTTTAAATAAATCGTCTGCTTGGTCACATTTTCAATGAATCCTGATAACTTTGTACCACATTTAATGGTTCATATACATCGTTTTCTTTCAAGGTGCATATGATGCATTACTAAATGATGGCTTCTTATGCAAACTCATCCCCAAATTTCCTCTTCAATCACTCTCTAGATCACAGGAATGCTTTTTGCCGTCACAGAAATCAGTGGGTTTGTTTTTGTTTAGCACTTAGATGTATTTTCCTCTGTAACTAGCAGCGCTGCTTGAAAGGCTTCAGAGGAATTCTGTGATTCATTTATCACATTCTACACAGACGTCCTGTGACATATTTCAGAGAGTCATATGGAATATTCATTGCTCATAGCCAGAGAAAGTGTTATCCAGCGTAAACCTCCATGCAACAATGATTGATTAGGGGGATCACTGTTGGATGCAATGTAAGTAGTCACGATTAGAGTTTGATGCATTTCATCAATGTCCCTGCCTCTTCTCCTGATATGCACATCAATAAAAGCCATCGTAGGATACCTGCTTGTCAAACGTATATATCAAAAATACCCAAATCTCACCAATGTGATTTGATTAAATCGTAAAAACTGTGGGGAAAAAACATGTATTTATTTGTCCCTGTTAATTAAAATTATATTAAAGTCAAAAGGATTTTAAGCTATTTCTAATGCTGATGAAATCACTTACAATGGATGCTGCTTCTTTGATGATTAAAAGTTTTAGTTTCCTGAGGAATCAACTGGTCCACCGAGCACTGGCCCTGACTTCCTGTTTTAAGGTCCCCACACACCTTACGATAATCGCGGGAAATCCCGCGATCGTACGATTATCGTAAGGTGTGTGGAAGCTGTGCAACCTCTACTACTGTAAGGTCGCACGACTTTAAACTTACGAACATGTTTCAATACCCGCCGAGCATGGTACGATGTTTGGCGGGTGTGTAGCATGTTCGTGAGATAAAAGCCAGACGGTCCGGTGTGCGCAAGAGCACACTGCCCGTTCGGCATTGCGGTCATCGGAAGCCCGCCCCTCAGGGGGCGTGGCTTGCGATCATCGCAAGTACGATCTGCCTATGCAAGATAGGCAGATCGTACATTTTTTTAAGCACCTTACAACCATCGCAAGACAAAAGTCTTGCGATGGTTGCAAGGTGTGTGCCCAGCCTTAGAGTGACTCCTTTGCTATGCAGTCACCTGTGTGTGCTGCTAGTAAGCAGTGTGTGACTCCACAAACACACAGATACAACAAATCAAGCTAATTCCCACGCCACTATCCCCCTCTCCCTTCTCCAAGCTAGTTGATGAACAGTTGCTGGAATCACCCATTGTCTACCTAAACATAAGAACTATATATATATATATTTACCAAAGCTAACGAGGAGTGTTGCCCTATGAGCATTTTAGTGCCCAGCTGTGATTGCAACATCTCTAACCTCCACACTTACACTCGTAGCAAACCACACATAAGCTTGCAGTTGTAGAAAATATATTTATGTCTACATGGAACAAACTAAGTCTCTGCATTTTATATCTGGAACCAAAAATAAATCTTCTTTTTTTGGCACCAGTAAGGATGTTGCAAAGCAGAGCTGGCAACAAACAGTGCTCTACATTTTAGGTCTGGCAGTAGATATTCTAATCTTGACTCTACATACAACCTCTCACAGATAATACACTGAATATTATCATTCCTTTATTTTTTAGCTTTACAGATTCTCTATACCCTCTTTTATACCTTACAATAAAATGTCTTCATCTGGTAGGTGTAAAGATTCATGAGCAATCATGAGAAAATGAACAGCACATTTTAAGCGTCCCTGTGAAGAATATTTAAATGGCCACAAAGAAAAGCCTGCAAGACAATAAATACTTACCTTTCCAAGCTGCCAAATGCTGCTCTGTTAAAGAAGTAGTCTTCTCTTCTGCAAGAAACCAACGCTTCCGGAAGGGCTGATCTGCTGGGTCCCCTACTGCACTTATTGGCTCTTCTGCCATCCTCCTCGTTACTATAGGACACAGTAGTGATGTAGAAGTCAGCAGGATAAATCATTGAGCATGGTGAGGGCTAGGAGATTAACACTTTCTGAAGTGTTGGCTTCTAAAGAAGACTTCAGCGGATGATACCTCCTAACTGGAACAGCAGTCAGCGGCATGGGCAGCGGGAAAGGTAATCATTCAGTGTCTGCTTTTGTTAGACACTCCTTGTGGCCATTTTAATATTCCTGACAGGATAATTTAATGGAACTTAGCATGATCACTCTACTTCTAATAACTTTGTAGTAACCTGGAAAAATATTGCCAAAATCTGATGACTATTGTTTCCAAAATAAGTGATGTAGTAGTGAAGTCCCTGCTGATACAGTATACTATTTATTACATATAATATATACTTATGCTGGTGACTGAAATTTTAAGTAAGGAATTTAAAAATATCTGGCTCTTTTAGGCCCCATTCACACCAGATGCGTTGTTGGCATCCATTCTTCAACTTATGCCAACACAAGGACATCTGAAAATGAATGGGTGTGAATTGGAGCAGTTCACACCAGTGCCATGCATTGCTCTGCCCTCCACTGAAAAAAAATTAGAGCAGGCTCTACATTTGTTCAGCACAACCCAACGGACTGGTGTGAACTGCTAAAGCGTGTCAACTCAAGGCAGAACCAATACCTTATATAGCTTAGTGTAAAGATCCAACAAAAAAACACAATGTAACGCAAATGATGTTAATGAGCTATGCAAACTCGAGTCAACATACCTCTGTTGACTCACGTTTTTGGCTCCAATTCCGGTGTGAATGCATCCTTAACCACATAGCCTTTTTGGTGCTGATGAAGAGGCAAATGGCTAATAGTTGGTCATATGAATCAATAACTTTAATTAATTCTGGACATCATCAGTAGCAGTTTTGCTAAATAGAAATGACTCCTAGACTGGTTTTAATTATTGTTAATCTTTATCATCATTCACATAAAGGTCATGTCAGATGGTGATTAATTGATCGTTGCTACAAAATGGCCCTTCTGACATGGCCCTAACACATGTGATCTTGACATAACAAATATTTTTTTGTAGCTTTGATAACACATGCAAAGTAAATGACTATCAGGAAAGCACAGTGCAACATAATGCGTAATGGTGGCAGGTGCAGGTGGCATATAATGTACCCCAGGAAGGGTTAATACCACTGTCTCTAGTTTATCATTGCTTGCTATGACCCCTGTGGGGGGTTTTGCCGTTGCAGGACATGAAGTCAGGACTGGCGAATCCTTGCAACAGAAAGCAATACAAACGTGAAAGGGTTAGCTCTGTCAGCTTTTTTATTGGTGTCTAGAGCCCATTGTAGAGATTCTTCGCACTAACTGTGTGGTCCTGGTGTGACTTGGCCATACAGTCATGCACATCTTCAGTATTTATTGGTAATCTACACCTTTGGGAGAGTTGTATCTATAGTGAATACAGGTTGTGTGAGTTATGTATTATTTGAAAGACACTTTACCCTATGCTTACAGGAAAGATTTTTGGAAAGAACCTAACTAGGGATGCACCAATACCATTTTTTCTAGACCAAGTATTAGTGCCGATACTTTTCCTCAAGTACTTGCCGATACCAATTACCGATAAATTGTTTTAGTGTCATGTGACAGTTTTCCTAAAACAATACAGACTAATGATTTTATGACAGTGGTGGAGCGCCAGAGCCCGGTCCCAGCTGCAAACGCTGCACCCCTGGTAGTTCTGCCACTGACTCCAAGCTGTAGAGGGATTACACATCTCAGCAATACATTATACAGCAATGCAGAATAGCACCAGCTAAAGAGGACTACAACTATCAGCAATACATTATACAGCAATGCAGAATAATACCATCAGCTG